CTCAACTCAACTCAACTCAACTCAACTCAACTCAACTCAACTCAACTTAACTTAACTTAACTTAACTTAACTCAACTCAACTCAACTGCCAACTCAATATATTCAAAAACAAATCATTGCCGCCGAATTGAGAAAACGATTCTACTTTTCTTTATTTTTATCATGATTGGCAGTAATCCACTTGAAAGAAGAAAACTTAAAACAAAATTAATATCTATAGCTTACTAAAATCCAAAACGCTGGGGGTTTTATGTATGAAATAAAATTCTCAATTCTACTGTATCTTGTGTAATATAGATTTTGACAGTTTTACACACAGTTTGCGAACACAAAAAATTCAGCTTCAGTAAATCTTTCCTGTGTATTTGGAATCCTTTACTTAATAGCTGTAAACATATATTTTTATTGATTCTCAAAAATTTGGTTCAAGATTTTAGAATAAATAGTTTGTTATTATCAAATAGAAAAGGGCGTCAATGCATGATTCGCCTGGGGTGCCCAATTCGTTAAAGCCGGCCATGTATACATCTCTACATAAATTAGGCAGTGTACTATATTTCTTATAATATCACATACTTACAACGATATCTTATCATGTCTGTTTCTAGACATACATATGTATGTAGGTATGAATAATCTTAAGACTTATCTGGCCCCACTCATGTACGTACTCAGTATATGTATGCGTTTACAGCCGCTCCACTTTCAGCCATACTTCGCTGCCTGGTACTAGCACTATGCTATATTTAGATATCTCTATTTGTTTTGGCGTTTTCTCGCACAAACTAAAACGATAAGATTTCAATAGCGTTATCAATCCAACACGCACTTGCATGCGTCCAAAACGTAGGCCAATGCAATTGCGTGGTCCATCGCCAAAGCCGAGGAAGGCTTGAGGATGACGCTTTTGCACTTCTACTGGATCGAAGCGTTCCGGGCGGAATTCGTGTGGATTTTTATATATATCCGGATCGTAGTGTATCTCCTTGATTGGTACGAAAATGCGTGTGCCTTTCTCAAGTGTAATGTCGGTGTCGGGCAATTTGTAGTCTTCGACTGAAATGCGTGTAAGCGATGCCAAGGCAGGATATTTGCGAAGAGTTTCTAGAAAGAAGATAAAATTAAGCAATTGTTATCAGTATGTCAATCACTCCAAAAATTTCCACTAATATTTATATAGGGCTTATGTATGTATGTATGTGTTTGAGTCTTTTATATAGAAACTTGATAAATTTTTTAGTAAAAGTTGGTATGGACCAATCAGCTTCAACTCCTTTCTAATCAAAATATTAAAAAAAAAACGCTATATGACTCTCATCAGGGAGACTTACATATCTCAAGACGAAGCCACTATGCGTAAGTCAGTAAGCGGGAAAATCTATTACCACAGCAATAATTTAAAACATTTCTTGGTACTTATATCAGTTGGTTTTCACAATATCTCTTACGAAGCCATATCCTTGGGTATGACAAGAACAGATATCTCTAACTTTATAACCGTCTAGGTCACAAATACGATGACTTCTAAAACTATAGAAGTTGAGCTAGGAGACCTCTGACACCTAGTTACGGCCACCAGTGGCTGCCCTCCAGTGGCGGAGAGTCCTGGTTCCCCTGCTATGCACGCTGGCTATGTATGCATTTTTAGAAAAGCTCAAAGGCAATATATTTAATACAAATACCTATGTAGAGAGAGGAGATTCCGCATCTACTTTTGTAAGCAGTCATGAGGAGACCACTTCGAGTTTCAGTATATGCGCCAGTGTCATTTTCTGTGAAAATTATTGGAAAACTCTGCTTACATAACGAGTTCGAAGAACAAAATTAAGACAAACTGTTGCCCATCACTATCCAATCTAGTGCAACTTCTGCAGCTGAAAACTGAGCTGGAAGGAAAATTATAGTTTTTTTCGGGTTACCCAGACCGTTGTGTTGAAACTCTGGTTCCGAATAGAAACTTCGCCATGAAAATCCTTAGTAAGGAGGTGTGCATAGAAAACTATTATCCTCCACCCGGTAGTATATGCAGTAATTTTCACAGATGGTTCAAAAATTAACGGCGGAGAGGGTATGCCCTTCGCCGCTAGCAAATTGCTTTAAACTAACTACGATCTGTCGACGAAAAACTTGTCCTGTGTGGGATCTAAAGAGGCAGGATATATCTCACACAATTGGTACTCCAATAGACGTCTGTCTTATAGGTAAAAACGCAGAATGGCTCGGAGTGCCATACCCTAAATGCCGCAAAAGTTGGAAAAACAACGAGGAGTAGGAGACATTCTCTGTAACTATCCCGCATTATCGACCTTGACGAATTGGCAGATTTAAACTTTAGGTGCCTGACGAATTTCCTCAAGGATTCAAAATGGTTCAGCAAGCGAGGGTGAAAACTCCCTGCGTAGCAGTACCAGCCAAATCTACCTATCTATCTACTCATTTATAAAGCGCCTTGTTGGACTACTCTCGGAATAGAAGAATAGAATGAATAGAAACTCCATCGGCCATCTCAGTGTCTTAAAATCTTAAACAAATGACTAATGTCAGTGAATTAAAGCCCAGAAAAAGTGATTAATTTTTGTAGGAAGTAGAACTATTTTATTGCCGAATATAGGTGTTATCGAAATGTTTGCAGAGGCGACCCCTAGGTTAAGCATACACATTTGTTTTTTTTCGAAATTGCCTTGCAAAAATACTTTGGACTCACTCAGGGGTGTATAGCGAACTTTTGTTTGTTTGCCTGTAAGATTGTACGACGTAATGCCCATCATTATCGACTCTATCATTTAGTCTCACTTATGTACCTGTGATCACCTGATCCAAATTGGTCATTTCCATCATCGCCTCGTAAGTCAACTCGCCGCTGTACTTCTCCAGCACTTTGACAATTTCAGCTCTCAATTTCTCCTGCAACTGCGGATTCTTGGCCATCTCATATAGGCCATAAGTCATATTACTCGAACTGGTCTCAAATCCAGCAGCAAAGAAGATGAATACCTGTGCAGCCATCTCTTCGTAAGTCAACATAGGTTTACCGTTTTCGTCCCTAGTATTTTTCATCTCAATCAGCAAGTTAATAAAATCGTTACGTTGAATTTTCTGCTCTTCACGCAAACGCACCGTGTCACGCACCAGCCGCATTATAAACTCTTCAACCTCTTTGGTTGTGCGCCTAAAATATTTTAATATTTTAAATATCCCCGAATAGGTGATCAAAAACAAGCGCAGGCGTATTGAAAGAAAATTTGGATAGAAAATTTGCCGTCCAATGCGCCGAAATTCTACATTAGGATCTTTCAAACTATTGCATTCTACACCAAAGGCACAAGTGCCGATAACATCGGTAGTATAGCGTCCCATCATGTCGTGCAGCTCAATAACACCGTCCTTGGCTTGCGTCAATTCCTCGCTGAAGGCCTCATCAAGCTGACGTGCCACCGCCACCAGTGTGGGAAACATAAACTTCATTTTGGCCGATGTGAATGTGGGTGAAAGTTTGATGCGCAATGGGCGCCACCTCTCACCGTGCAGAGCAAAAAGATTTGCGCTGATTGAATTGCCAAGATCGGCACTATATTGAAAACGATCGGTGAATTTATTGAAATCTTTAATAAGAATAGCCTTCACCAAATCCAAATCGAGTATTACCAATAATGGTTTGGTGAAGATGTATGTACCAACAAATTTGGCCTTGCCACGAAATTGCTGATAGGCATCGCTCACAATTTCCGATCTGCTTATGCTACGCAGGCGAGAGATGTTACCAAATAGAAAGTTCATTTTCATCTGAGGTACACCCAGCAGCTCCCAGTATTGATATTTGTAGCGCAGGTAGCTGATCAGCAGCGAGAAGAGTGTGATGAATATTATAAGGTAGAAATCCATTTTGTAGCGCTGGAGTTGGCAGGAATAGTGGTAGTGGAGGAGAGATTTTATTTTTTTAACTAGTACAGATAATTTTCGGAGTTTTCACTTTTAGTAGTTGCTATTTTTATTTGGAGTATTTTCCTTTATTTTTAAATATTTAAAGCACTAATACCTCCTTTGGAAATTACTTGCCTGCGCAACAGATGTATTTTAAGCGACTGTCGCACAGATTTGCAGAAACTCTACTGCACTACTAGATAGACATAATTCAGTTTATAGAGTTAGACATGAATACATGCATTAATTCACATACATATGTATGTGTACTTACATGTGTATGCCTGTATGTAAACGCGTCCCTGCAGGAAATGTATCTACCTATAAGCTAACTTTAGGTTGATTACGAAGGAGCTATAATTCGCTTACCTCTGCATTAGATGTAGTCAAGGGTGGTTACGTCTGCATTTGCTGTAACTAACTTGTAACTAACTACTTTTGTACATAAAATATCAATAGGAAAAGCAAAATATTTTATTTTTACTTTTATTTTTTAGTTTTATTTTTTATTTACTTTATTTATTTTATCACATTTCATATTTGTTTACATATTCTGCTGTAGGTGGTCCCACATTCGAACTCCGTCATAACATAACTTCAAAATGATAATATGGAATTTCGATCTTCCTTTTATTTGTTCTCGATTCGATAAAGTATTTGCGAAGTGCAGGACATTTAAATAGAAACGCGTTTAAAGAAAACAATCTCAAGCTTTACTTCTGCATTACTTGTCCACTTGTTACAAGTTAGCTTTTTGTAGCTAACTACAAGTTATACATTTTATAGAAATCCCGCAAAAAAGCTAACTACAAGTGGGTTATTTTTTAACAATTGATAATTTTTTCCTGCAGGATTAAGATGCAATCTTAATAAGGCGATAAATTTTTAGCTATGGTGCGTCGTTTCATTTTCATATTCATTTTATCGTGCAATATCTTAAAATGACACCATTCTTGGCAAAGTTGCCATCCTAACTTAGAAAAAATTTTTCCTCCTAAGCTATAATAGTTATGGAGATGAAATTTCGTACACTTATATAAATATTTATACGTTATTATACAAAAACAACAATGCCAAAGAGTTATACATACTCGAATTTTCAATGATTCTCTTTCTTAACAATAAATTTTTTTTTGTGTTTTTCATGCTATCATAAAAAAAACAACTATGCAGAAATTTTCCTTTAATAAACTGTAAAACGATTTTTGTCCCTATTATTATTTTCGAAAATATTTATATATTTAAGGTTTACGAAAGATAATCGATTGGCGCATATTTCTGTTCAATTGCCGTTTTATAGTGGCGTAAATAACGCAAAAGAATTTTGTTTAAAAACAAAATTACTGAAATTACTATCAAAAAATATTGATACAAATTGGCATTGCTGTTAGTGTGCGAAATATAACTCGATATCTATTATAATAGATTGGGAGAAACTTATATTTCTAAAATTTGCCATGTCATTATGATTGTTAATAACATTGACAAATATTGCAATTTTGCAAAATAATGGGTGTTCCATGATTTTTAATCTATACATATAATAAAATTGTAGCAGGACGATGTCTGTGCCTTATAGATATTAATGCAAAATCAGTATGTGGGATATTTATTAGAGCAACAGAAGCCAAATCAACAGTTTTTAGAATTTGTGTCTGTCTGTCTGCCTACCTGTCTGTCTGTATGTTTGTATGCGCATCACTCGAAAACTAATGCATGAAATCGAATGCAGTTTTCACTGTTGTATTGCCTGAGGTCTAACTTAAAATATAGAAGAAAAAATTAAAGAGCTGCCACCTGTTTGAAAATTTCATTTGAAGTAACATGATAAGTTATTTGGTTTTGTTATTAAAACAATTATATTCAACACTCTTTATTGAGATTGATGTCTTTTTTTTTAATGAAAAACTATTGTGGAAAAGCAACAATAATTTGAAAAAATGGTAAAAGTGATAGCTATGAATCGGAATAGTTTTTCAATAAAAAAGCGGCCTCAAGCTCAATAACAATTGTTGAAGTAAATTGGTAAGATAAACTAAATATTGCAAAGAATAAGAAGGCATACAGACGAAAAAAGTTATGTGGAAGGTTGCCACATGTTTGACAATTTAATAAGACAAATTAAATATTGCAATATAGGTATCAAACTAAAGAGGTCTAGGAAAGTTTACTGCCGAAAATATTTTTGAGTGGGTTGCCAGCTGTTTGAAAAATTTTATTCATTTTAATTGATAAAATATGTAAATAAAATATTATAATACTCGTGTTGAACTAAAGGGATTTAAGAAAATTTACTGTCGAGCATATTTTTCAAGCGGGCTACCACCTACTTGAAAACTTGAATTCAATTAATCTGATAAGGTAAGGCCAATATTGAATTAGTACGCATTTGAAAAAAGTGCGCGAGACTCGATAAATTATATAAATTAAACTTCCAGGAGAAATCCGATACTTTACCTACCGAAAATATATTAACTAACATCCACATTTATAAAAAAAGAAGGCTCTATAAATCGAAAATTTGTGTAAAAATCTCCCCTCATAAAGCTTTTTAATATATTTTCTTTTTTATGAATGAGGCCATTCGAGTATTGGGCGGGAGTAACAACACAAAAATTCTTTTAAGGCGCAGTGAAGCACGCCGGATATTTACTCGTTGTGAAATAAAAGTCATAAATTATTTTACGCTAAGCTTTATTTATATGTTTATATAAAGTTAATAGACTGTTACTAATATCCGACAAATGGCCTGCCTGTCTTTAGTGTTAGACCCTTATTCTTCTCCATAAACATTTCAATAAAAATTTCATGTAAAAGGCCCAGTGGCCAGATTTTGCTAATTTCAATTTCGATCTTCGACTGAGGAATTGTTGTTGGTTTATTGGCATACACGAGAGATTTTTAAAAACTCCAAAGGAAGAAATCGGAAGGCGCCAACTCGCATGATCTTACTGGTCAGCTCTAATATCCATTACGTGAGATGACACGACTGTAAACAATATAATATAAAAATATTTGTAGTGTGCATTAACAATAACGATTCGTTGCTCGACTAAATACCATTGCATGGCTACTAATAGCAAATAATTAACATTATTGTTATACGTTTATTTTCTGATGCATTGCGATAAAATTAAAAATGCAGGGCAATGCAAAAAGCGTGTTCTTGTTGGGACACTCTTTATTTATATGCCAGCACAAGCGCTAAATATATGTACATTAGGCATATGACTTTTCCTCTTTTTTTGGAAAGAGTAAATCTACATGGTATTATACAATGAGTTTTTATATATCAAACTGGGATATGATCTTGATTTAAGAAAATTATTAGTAATTCAATTCGATTTATTTTAAGGAAAAGACAACTGAAATTCGCTGACCACGTCTGGCGATAATTGCAATTTAGTGAATTGACTTTTTCAAACGATAAAACAGGAGTTTAACTATATCTGTAAAACTGGTCTACACTCATGAAATTTTATTCCATATTCGGATTAAGGAGAAAATTTTACATGTGAAATGATGGTCAATTGGCTAAAATTAGAATTACATTAACCTAGTGTCATCAGATTTTTTGAAAAAAAAATTTACTAAAATTTAGCTACCTTATTTTTTTCATCCGGTGTAACTCTTTCCTGTATTCTATAAAGAATTTATTTGGCTACCTATCAGCAAATTTTCAACCAAAGAACACAAAACTGGACAAAAAGAATTACCACAACAGGGCTGATTAACATATTCGAAGAATTTTTTAAAATATTAGAAAAGTAGGTGCTGAAATAGTTGTCATGGTGCAAGTTTTGGCCTTTATTATATTGCCAAAGTTTAAAGCTCAATTGCTTCCAGTCTGTCAATTTATATGCGGTGCATGGTTTAGTGTTTGGTTATCTGACCACAGCTTTGATAAAAACGATTTTGCATTATTTGAAAAATCCTCCTTTCAGTTTAGAAAAGCACACAGCCGTTTTTTTAAGAAACTCAGTAAAATCCGGCAATCTGCGAATCCGCTACTGTTAACCAGCATTGGAGTAATATCTGTGCGGAACGAACAATTAAAGCGGTTGAGGTTGTATGTATTTTATACCTGAAAAACGCCGCGTACTTTGAATTTAAATTTAATATCTTTTAATTTATAATTTATATATACTAGCATTTATTAATGTGTAATTAAAATTAATGGAAACAAATTTAATGAAACCGAAATGAACAGTTTAAAACTAGTGTTTCCTGCGGAGGTTTTTTTTTGACAAATTGACACAAAAACATTATTTTTGTTGTTTTTCACGATTTCTAAGTATCGAGTAACAGGTAGAAATTTTCGCAAAAAATAATCATACGCCTAATGTATGTATGTCACTGATAGGCACTGCCTTGCGCGCGGGCAAAGCTCTTTTAAGCTTTCTATACATTTTGTAAAGCCGCGAGCAGAGTAAAAGCTCTTTCTGCCCAATGCTGATGTATGTACATTAGACTGCATAACCAAAAAAAATATTTCGGAAAAATATTATGAAAATACCTCCAAAAATTGCGTTTTTTATAAACAAAAATGACAAAACAGATTAAGCTTAAAAAATCTGCTTAAAAATATTTCCAACGGAATCGTAATAATGAGATTTTTTATGCTTTCTTTTATTAATTATTCAAAGATTGATTTCTGTCCAAAAAGAAGTTATTCCTGTCCCAATTGTTTTTTTTTTTTCAAATACCAACATATCTTAATTCAACTTTGAATGACGTTCGTTCATCCTACCTTTCTCTTTCATCATTTAAATGAGTTTATTAGCAAAGAAATAAATCGGGTGGGGGAAATACTTTTCCAATAATATATCACAAGTCTAAATCGGAAGAGATTAGATTCAGTTATTCGAGTGTTTTTTTATATCAACCTTTAAAGAAACTTAAAAAACAGCATTAAAAATCTCATTATGATGATTCCGTTCAGATTTTTTTATAATTTTTTTAGACTATTTTCATACAAATTTTTAAGCTTAAACCGTTTGTTGTTTGAGGGGATTTAAAAAAAAAATCTTTAGGAAACTATTTTTATTCATAAAAAATTCCGTTTTTGGAGATATTTTCAAATTGGTCCAGTTCACGTAAATCTTAATATTTTTCCGAAATATTTTGGTGGACGTCTTAAAATATAATAGATTTTATAATTCCAATGGAAACAAAGTA